CTTTCTCGAAGTTAAAGAAATTTTAAATGAAGTGATAGAATTACCGATCATTTGTGATAGATCGCTGAATTTCAGATGATTCTGATGATAAAAAAAAATGATGTCGATGGATAAATCATCGGGAATCGAAATAGTTAAAAAATGTAAGAGAATTAATTCTATATTGAAAAATAAATAAGTAAATAAGTAAATAAAGATTCTGGTTGTATTTCAAAATTGACTTGATTTTTCTTCCATAAATAAAATCGATAAAAATAACATTATTTTTCTCTTTTCTTTTCATGACTTATCTATTCGTCCTGGTTCTCTTAACCACATGTCATTTTTAGTAAGAGCGATCAACGACGATATTAAAGAATAAACATAAGGAAGAGTGGCCTTATAGATGATTGTCTGACAGAACAGGAAAAAACGATAACTATAAGCTTTAGAAATATTTTTTTCTCGTTACGAACAAAATAACAAAACACAACCACGTGGAAAAAAACGTGTCTCTTAGAATATTTTCAAATATCTAAATAGAACGACTTTTACGTATCGAACCGTGTTCTAATCTTATCTTAAGATTTCGATTAACAACTGTAAAGAATGAAATATCTATAGTGTGATATTTGAGCAACGAAGAATAGAGCTAAGTTTATTCTGATAAAGAAAACATTTCATTTCAAATTGATATTAATAGAAAATAAGATAAAGAAAAATTTGATTATTTTAATTTTATCTTACTTCTTAAATAACTAATTAAACATTTCGAGAGAATCAAAATTCTTTTTATTTAACATTTTACTTTATATTTGGAGACTTTTAGAGTAAAATACTTTAATTATTCTCATTTAAAAAGTCTGAACAGTGACTCTTAAGATGATCGAATTGGAAAACATTTTCTATATGGTATTAAACTATTAGTAGAAATGAATTTAAATTACTTAGTCGAATATGGAGCCACCCAGGTCAACACTTACGACGATCGCAAACGACAGTAAAAGACCGTATATGATGACAAAAACGACCGTAAACGACTTACTTAGGACCGTTTACAACGAGTTACGGAACCGTTTGGTATCCGCTGTATTACGGTCGTATATCGTCGTGGTCGTAAACGACCGTATACGATTATCGTTTACGGCGGAGTACACCCCGATGAAATTCCCAAGAAATCGTTGAGAAATCTCAAGAAGTCTGTGAAAAATCCGAGAAATCTTTAGAAAATCTCTGAGAAATTGCAAGAAATCTCCGAGAAATCCCAAGAAATGTGTGAGAAGTGACATCGAATCCAAGTGAAATCTAGAAGAATTATGATGAGATCCAAGTGTAATTTATCTAACATCTGTTGAATTTTTTGAGAGGTCTATGAAAAACCTATAATAAATGTCAAGAAAGTTTATGAAATCCAAGTGAAAGTTTTCAGTAATGTGTTGCGAGTCGAGAGAAATTTATGCAAAATCTTATGAAGTTGGTGAGAAATCTTCATTAAAATAATTCCCTGGTTGACGCAGAAATAACGTCACGAGCTCAATAACTCAAAATGGTACCCTAAAATTGCAATAAACTCTTATGAGTGTCTTTATGTATGTAATAAAAGTTATATTCACGTAAAAAGAAACTGGGTACTAGACCGCTCCGTGACGAACTATTTCAAATAAAAAAGATAATATAGAGAAACTCACCAAATGAAAATAATTAAATTGCATGCTTGGAAAGGTGGGACTTCATAACACATTAAATTTTGTTCGGTTCTCTCAGAAACCTATTCTTTAATGAGCACAGAATAGAAATCATTAAAATGTGAATTTAAAGGAGACATTTCGGATTAAAATTCATGTTATTTGTAACACTTTTAAAAAGAAGCTTTCTTTTTATCAATTACTTTAATTTTGAAATTTCTACAGATTTTTGACTTTTTATTTGGGAGGGGAGGGGGTGGGTTCACTACACAAATATTTATAACAAACCTACTCACGTACGAAAGATAAAATAAGATATAAAATTAGTGATCCAATAATTCAATCTAAATGATAATAGAAATGAAAATGAAATAAGGATATATATATACTTATAGTTGCAAAACAAAACGGTGAATGATTAGTGGACCAAAATTCTGTGATTAAGATTTTAAATTTCCATTAAAAAATGTTTAAAAAAATTCCTAGGATTTCTCGAAGATTTCAACTAGAATTCTCATGATTTTTCTAGGATTTCGATGGATTTTTGAAGATTTTTTTTCGATGAAAACCAACTTATTCCTTTAAGATATTCTCTTCATTTTCTAATATTTTTTAAAAAATTTCATAGGATTTCTTAAAGATTTCTTAAGATTCTCATGGGGTTTTGTTTACATTTTGTCGGGTTGATGAATGATTTAATTGTGTGGTGCAAATTCAGTGTTGATTTCGATTGATTTTGAAGAAATTTTAAATGATGTCATATTAGCATGAGTGATTTCAACTATTTTGCTGTTGATTTCGATTTGGGAAAGGATTCGGTAGCGTCTTAGGTTTTACGATAGTATTCGATCGTCGTATACGATGCCCGTTTTTTTACGATGGTCATATACGGTAATTTTTTACGGATGTCGTTTACGGCGGTCGTATATTATCGTAAAGCGTCATATACGATCACCGTAAACGGATGCCGTATACTGTTGTTGTGTTTTGCCGTAAAATGCCGTTTACGATCGTTTACGACCGGGGGAGTTTGACCTGCGCAACTTCACCTACGTGATCTTATTATTATTGCTCTTTATCAGATATATATTCGATTTTTTTATTAATAGAGAACATTTTCTCAATATATAGAGTGATAGAAGAAAAAATTCAATATTCTCGTTCTCGTAGAAAAGAGTCTTGCAAACATAAATTATCTGTTTGCTTGTGTCCGTATTATCCAGGTCTGATGATTGCTGACTTTCCAAATTTATTTACAATTAGTGGTCCCGGTGCTCCATCTGATTTAGCTAATATGGTTCCACATATCGAACAACATGTTAAATGGATAACAAAATGTTTGGAATGTCTACGAACACATGATATCAATATAATAGAACCTTCTCTAGAGGCAGAGAATACCTGGTTTAATCATGTAAATGATGTTGTCGAAAATACTCTTTTTCGAACATCCAAGTCAATCTACAACGGAGCAAATATTTCCGGAAAACCACGAGCCTTTAAACCTTATGTAGAAGGCTTTGATATTGATATGGAAAAGTGAGAAAAAATTGCCAACAATAACTATGAAGGTTTTCATCTGGTGAAGTAACTACGATCATTACAGCATGGGTGATGCAGAACATTCACATTCGTTGTAGTTTTAATGTAATTTCGTGACAGAATATCGTACAGTTCTGATTTCTTTGTTTGATTCGATACGAGTGTCGACGAGACCAATTATATTTGCTTCATTCTTTTTAGATAATTCTATTTCTCATAGTACTTGTTTATTAGGGTTCTGCTACTTAACAAGTTCAAAAACAAAATGTCGACAATGATGGAAATGGCTCTATTACAAAAAATTCAAGAGCAAGAAATGATGCCTTCACCAGCATCATCAGCTATTCCTACTGCTGGGTGTTCGCAAAGTGCTGCATCCTTTGCACAAGAACGGATATGGCTCGATGAAAAGATCCATCACGACCCATCAATATCACCCGCCATGCATAATTTTGTTCTACCTTTAGTGATTAAATATGGTTCAATGTCAATTGAGCGCATTCATTTGGCCATTGTTGCTGTTCTTGAACAGCATGAAATACTTCGAACTGCAATTTACTTCGATAAAAATCGTAACATGTTGGTCCAAGCGGTGCAGCCTGTGGTCAACAATGTTGCTTATTCCTTTGAAATCACAGCAAAAGATATACAAAGTCTCGATGAAGTTGCTGATCTACTTAGGAATGAATCGGTCAAGCATTTTGCTGAGTTAGAACAGGGTTTAGTTGTTCGTTGTCATCTAGTTAAGGTGGGCTCTGACGATGACACGACCAAATTATATCCTCAAGATTTGATTATTTTCATATTTCATGGTGTAGCATTCGATTATAATTCTATTAGCCCATTCCTTATTGCCTTTACAAAAGCATATGATCAGATGGAATTGGAAGTTGAAAGGTTACAATATATCAGTTTCAGTCTATATGAGCATCAACAATTCGTTAATATCCCCGAAGACTCTCAAATACGAAGAGCCCAGTTGTTTTGGTCAAAAATGATGGATGACTACAGCCTTGATACAAACTATCCAGCACCATTTACGCGTCCATTCGACACAAAAAAGCGTTCTGGAGAAGGGCATAGTATATCATTTATACTGAACTCGATACTTGTCGAAGCTCAGATGAAATTTGCATCTCTGCATAATTTGTCTATGTTTCATACAGCACTAGCATGCTTCTTTCTATTTATATATGAACTCAATGATGGTACTATTAGTGACTTGTGTGTAACCTGTCCTACAGAAAATCGATCATCCGTTGATACAAAATGCATGATTGGCACGTTTGCGAATTTATTACCATATCGCATCAAAATTAATGCAAATGACAGTTTTATTAACTTAGTGCAGCAAATTTGCCAACTGGACATAGACATTTTTAATCACTGTCAACTACCTTATCAACAGATCATCAGGGATAATAAGCAGTTATGTTCAAGCAAGATTCCATTTCATTTTCAATATGGAGAGATTCACTTGTCTTCAACTAGCGAAATGAAATCGATAGTCAAGACAAATGATGCAAAATTAAGTTTATATACTGAACAACCTTGGCTACATGACAATGGTATTGCTTCTCATGATATGAATTTAAAAATGGTTCATAATCAGTCCAGCCAAACGACTTATTGTATTTTGGAATGTAGCGCTGATTGTTATGATGAAGTCACGGTGTCCAACATTGGTCGATATTTTCAAAATCTACTTTTACATATCTTCACTGAAAATACAAAAACCATTGGATTCGACCCAGTTTTTGAAAAAATTGGCAATCTTTCTCTTTTACCAATGAACGTTGAAACTTTGTCAAGCGTTATCGAGTCACTACGACATTTCTCCGAAATAAGTAAGTGCTTCGAAGAAAGCTTGTTTCTAACTCCTCTTTACATATCTGCATGAATTGAAACTCTTACATAATGAGTAACTTGTAGAAATAGTTTAAACCCCTTAGAGCATAAAAATGTATAACGTCGGCTATTTGCGAGAGATTCGAGTATTTAACTGTGAAAATAAACCTTATAAATGTGTAAGAATAATATGTGACTATCATAGAACCAGCTTCACATGCTCAACACCAAATATGGCACGATGAAGAACGTCGATTGCATTTGGATGGACCGCAATTGGCAATATACAATATGGTATTCTGTTATCGTCTTTCAGCTGATCATACCTTATCTGTTCAGCAGCTTCGTCACGCACTCCATCTTGTTGTAGAGAAACATCAGTCTCTGAGAACGGCACTTATTGTTGATACTACAAAAAACATTCTTACGCAACAAATAGTTCACCAACAGAATCTCGAAATCAATCGATTTTCTATAGTCGAAAGCATTTATGAAACAGATGAACAATTGGATGAAATTATGCACAATGAGACATACAACCCTCGTGTTTTCAATCTTGCTCAAGGTCTTGTCTTCCGATGCCATCTTGTTCGTTATAAACAGATTCCTACTAATGATCTTATCTCCGATAACGATGTCATCATTTTCAATTTTCATCATGCCTCGTTCGACTATTCATCGATGAAGATATTTCTCCATGATCTTCATCAAGCATACACCACAAATGAGCTATCCAACGATGGCAGCATCAATAGATTTCGCTATCTCAATTGTAAATATTCATACTTCTCTCTTTATAATCATATCGTGTCTTTCTCTCTTCTTTAGATGCTGTCATTGAACAACACATGCCTATGATTGGTGCAAGCATGTTCTGGCATGATGCTCTGCATGATTACAAACTAGATCAGTCTCTCTCATTGCCATATGATCGATATCGACCTACGAATGAATATCGATCAGGTTTTGGAACATCTATTTCATTCGATTTAGATCGAGATCTTTGTGACATTTTTCTTAACTACACATCTTCGCAGAACATCTCACTTGAGCATCTGGCGTTGTCTATGTATTTTGTCTTTCTGTTTAAACTGACGAATGGAGAAACAGACCTATGCATTGGAATGAACGTAAATGGCCGATACAGAGATGAACTTAGATCAGTGATTGGTATGTTTGTCAATGCTATACTCTTGCGATGTCAACTAGACCCACAATGGCTTCTACATGAACTTATTAAACATGTTCAAGAGATATTAACAAACAGTCGCAAATACTCTTATTTCCCTCTTCAACGTGTTCTAGATCGACATCCACATGCTTCGAAACCTGCATTTCTTGATACATCATTCGAGTTTATGCAATATTCACGGCAAGATCTCAGCGGAGACGTGATTGTAGGTGACAGTCATCTCTCTTTGATTCCTATTCATATCAAGATTAGTGACGATGATATCATGAACAAGTTTGACTTCATTCTTAGTATTCAACATGATTTCGATATGAATCAACTCTCTTGTACAATCAATGCATCACTTGACTTGTTCAATGTAGAAACCATTCACAAGATTGGACAACGATTTCATTCAATGTGCAGACAATTGTTAGCATCTATTCATAATCAAACAACTCAATCCATCTATGAATTATCATTCATCATGCCAGACGAAAGGTTACTCATGCAATCAATGAATAATACACAAGCCTCATTTCCTTCGATCACTTGTATTCATCATGAGTTTGTTAATCAAGCAATCAAACATCCACAAAAACTAGCTGTTGAACTAGATGAACAATCATTGACATATTGTGAACTTCTATGTTATGTTCAGATACTATCCTTAACTCTTGTCAATGAATATCATGTTACTCCAGGTGAAATAGTTTGTCAATGTGTTGAGAGAAGTTTGTCAATGGTAAGTTAATTAAGACAAGTAACTATTGATGTAAATATGAGATTGATTTGACTAGGTGATTGGTATTATGGCAATTGAGGTGGTTGGTGGTGTTTATTGTCCATTGTCACCTCGAGATCCGCAACATCGTTTGTATGCACTTATACAACAAACACGAAGTCGTCTTGTTCTTGTTCATTGGTTAACAAAAATGAAATTTAATAATGATATTCTTTTGATTGACATTCGACCAATGTTGTTGAATAATGAGGCAAAGAGTGATGTTAATGTTGATTGGCTATCAAGTATTACAGTCACACCTAATAATATTGCTTATATTATTTTCACAAGTGGTTCAACTGGAATACCAAAAGCGGTATGTTGATATTTGAATTTCTGCATCAATTTTTATTGCTCAATATTTTGACAGATTCAGGCGCGTCATGAAAATCTCATTCATTGCATGAACTCATTAGTGAGGATCAACGTATTGAACAAAGATGATAATGTCGTTCAGATCGCACGATGTTCATTTGATATTCATGTTCAAGAAATATTTGGAGCTTTAATGCAGGGAGCTACATTGGTTATGCTTCATCCAAGGGGAACAATCGATTTTGACTATCTCTCCAATATCGTGCAAATGAAACAAATTACATATATACTCATGGTTCCAAGTCTACTTCGAAGCTTTTTCACACTTGCCGCACAGTCTGACAAGACGGCTGTTTCAAAATATTTTCGATCACTATGTACTGGCGGTGAGTAGTTTAGAAATGAGCTTTAGCATGTTGTTCTGTTTCATCTCTCTTTGTAGGCGAATCAGTCTCTGTGCAGTTAAGCACTCTAATCGCAAATAACAGTGTGTCAGAGTATAATGTATGGAATTACTACGGTCCTGCGGAGATAACAATCTCTTGTACACTTCATCTTATTGATATTAAAGCTAATCCTAAAAGCATTCCAATTGGTAGATCACTTCCTAACTATCGATGTATAATTTTAAGTGAATTTTTACAACTTGCATCTGTTAATCAAGAAGGAGAACTATTTGTTGGAGGCGTTGGTTTGTTTGCGGGCTATCTTCGTCGTGATGATTTAACTGCAAAAGCCCTTATTGAAATAGATGAGCAACTATTTTATCGAACAGGTGATCTTGTTACAATCGATAACAATAGTCTTTTCTATCATCGAGGAAGAAAAGATCATCAAATCAAATTACGTGGACAACGCATTGAACTTAGTGAGATTGAACGATGTCTACTTAAAATTACATTCATATCTGCTTGTGTTGTTATGAAGTGGAATGATGATTATTTAGTGGCTTATGTTCAAAGTTCTGATATACATGAAGAACAGCTACGTCAACATTGCCAATCTCATCTGCCACCACATATGATTCCATCTTTCTTTATTATTCTTGATAAGCTACCATTGAATCAAAATGGTAAAATAGATCGAAAGCTACTTCCATCACCTCACTCTTCATCGTCAAGTATGCTATCGCTCAGCGAACTTGAGACACCAGTCAATCAAGTCGAAAAAAGTGTGTATGATATTTGGTGCCAAGTGCTGGAGCACAATGGACGACATATATCAACAACTACAAACTTCTTAACTATCGGAGGTCATTCTCGTTTGTTTATTGAACTTTATCATCGTTATCAAACTATCTTTGGTTTTAATAGCCGTACATTATCTATTAATCCGTTTCTTGAACAACCAACTATTCAACAGCATGCAAAGTTATTAAAGGCAGTCACAATCGATGATATTCGAAGAGAACAATGGTATACTCTGCACATTAATCAAAGTAAAAATCTCTAATATTGACTATTAAAATAAACTAAAATGTTTTGTTATTGCATTTTCAGGTATGGCATCATTTGCTCAAGAACGTATCTTTTTGGATGAACAAATTCGATTCTCTTATAAACATATTTTTTATAATAATTTTGTTGCACTACGAGTTACTGAAGGTGTCCTATCAATAAAGCGAGTACTACAAGCTCTCCAATTGGTTTTGAAGAAACATGAAATATTGCGTACTTCACTCGTGTTTAATAATAATGATAGTACACTACAGCAATATGTCACTGACAATCACAAGACATTTACATTTCTTCATCAGCAAAATTTTGAGAGTGACAATGAACTTCAAAATATTATTTATCGAACGGTTATTAATCCTGATCTTTTTGATTTGTCCAGTGGTCGAGTTTTTAATTGTCAGATGTTTCAACAGCAGAAGACTACGCATGAGACTGCTCACACAGACTTTCTTGAAAAGTCTGGTGTTCTTGTATTATATTTCCATCATGTAGCAGTTGATGGAACTTCTATAGCAATCCTGTTGAGTGATTTCTATAATGCTTATAGTAATAACATGACAGTTTCACTTGATGAACAATCAGTGCAATATATTGATTATTCTGTTCATGAACGGATTATGGATATGACATTATCTCGTAGCTTCTGGTATTCTCAACTAGAAAGATTTAATCTCAAACGTGCATTAAAGCTACCAGTTGATAGACACCGTTCGTCAGCTGTTCAACGATCTAACTTGGCGTCGGTAGCTCAGGTCTCTTTTGATAAGGAGCTGTCGATGATGTTTCTCAATTATGCTTCCTTACATCAAATTACGCCTTTTCAACTTAGTTTGACAATATTTTATCTGTTTCTCTTTAAATTGACTCACGAAGAAACTGATTTATGCATTGCATCTCTTGATGCTAATCGACATCGAAGTGAATTAGAAAATATGATCGGTATGTTTGTTTCAACGTTACCATATTGTGTACAACTCAATTCGCATTTGTCATTTGATGAACTTGTAAAACATGTTCGAGAAAAATGCTTGTCAATTCTTGAGCATTCCCATTATCCACTTCAACATATACTTACTGATTTTCGACTTAATCAATTGGATGTTCCATTTCTTGAGATCGTATTTAATTTTTTGCCGGTGTCTACAAATATTAATCGGTATTCTATAGGTAATGTACGCTTAGAACAAATTCCAATCAAACAAACAGATGAAATTTCTCAGTTTGACTTCTCAACAATGTTCCTATACAATCCGGCATCAGATGATCATAAACTTTCCTGTCGATTCTCCTGTGCGCATGATTTATTTGACAACACTACTGTTAAAACAATAGCGCAACGATTTCAGCATCTTCTGTCACAATTATTTCTGACAAACTCGAATGACATGGAAAAAGACCTATCTACTAAGTCTATCAAAAGTTTGTCTTTGATATTGCCTGAAGAAGCGAACGAAATATATGCATTAACATTAAGTCGCGTGACAGACGTTGTTACAGAAGGTATGACTATTTCTTTTTCGTATGAAAAGATTCTTTAGTTATAGAAGAACATCATATAAGAAAAGCGAAGAACAAAAAGATATGGGTAACGACGAATACTTGACAACGATAGCCACATACACATATTAAAAACATCCTCAATAGAAAAAGATGAGGGTGAATGGGTGTGAGTTTGGGTGAGGGATTGAGTGAGAGTATATGATTAATACAATAGGCACACCCACACTTACGCCCTTTGTAGAGTACGATAATAGAATACTTTATGACATAACTAGGACACCTTGGTGAATTTTCATTTTTGTCACGATCGCTAAGATTTTTTCCGAATGTGTTCTTCACTTAGTACGATTATTGCGTTAATTGACAACAAGTTGTATCCTACATGGACGACAGCAACGTTAGATTTGTAGCACAACAATAGTAATAGTGTAAAAGAGAATGATATACTGTTTGTAGAGAGGTGTTTTTCATTCATCACTCGTTTCCAGGTTCTGTAGTTTTCTTCCAATGTTAATCCCATCTTTAGCATTTAGGGGATCTGGTAAAATTCCGTCAATGTTACATTCCCTTTCTACTAGAATATGGCCTTGAAGATAAAGACGAAGTCACT